TACATATTTTGTCCACATAGCCTCTGGACAAAATTATTAAAATTTGATAACTCAAAGTTTGAAACCATGCAAGCTACAGCACCCTTAATTCTGGCAATTAGAAGTTGACAGATTTTGGATCGTAAAAGGGGTGTAAGGAGAATACTGGGGAGTAAGGTGATTCTGGATATTTTGTTCGCATCACCTGTGGACAGAGTTTTTAAAATTTGATAATTGAATTTTCAAAACTATACAAGTTACACTACCCTTAATTCTTGCAATTATAAATTGGCAAATTTTGGGTCGTAAAAGGGATGTAAGGAGCATCGTGGGGTGTAATGTAATTCTACATATTTTGTCCACATAGCCTCTGGACAAAGTTATTAAAATTTGATAACTCAAAGTTTGAAACCATGCAAGCTACAGCACCCTTAATTCTGGCAATCATAAGTTGACAAATTTTGAACCGTAAATGGGATGTAAGGAGCAAACTTGGAAATAAAAGTAATGCTACATATTTTGTTCGTATCGTCTGTGGACAATATTAAAATTTGGTAACTAAATTTTCAAAACCGTGCATACTAGGGAGTAAAATGATTCTATTATTTTGTTCGCAGTCTTTGTACACAAAATAATTAAACTTTGACAACGTATTCTCGAAAACTCTAGAAGTCACATCACCCTTTATTGTGTTCATTAAGTCAAGTTTTTGGTCCTTTACGTGGTCTAAGGAGCGTGCTAGAGTGGAAGGTGGCTTTACGTATTTTGTTGGCATCGTATGTAGACAAAATTATTAATATCTAACAACTTAATCTTGAATGATCCACTAATGAAATGAAATGAAAAATCGTTTGTTCTCCAAAAGTTTCTTTGTTTATCGTTGATAGTTTTCCTATACCTAGTTTTCCAAGAAATCTAAATAAAGTAATGGTGGGCAAGAAACCCTAATTATATGTATATTTTAAATTTACTTCAGAATATGCATTGATGGTGGGACTTCTATAGGCACTACTACCCTTTTTTCGAAATCTTTTTTAAAAAAAACTTTTTAAAACACTTCTGATTTCCAAATTTTTTTTGAAAATGCTTTAGTAAGGTAGTTTTACCGCATTTATGATTACTTGCATATTGGGCTATAATTTTTATAGGCATAGTACAACAATGAGAAAACAGAAAACTGTTCATTTAGACTAAAGTAATTTTTAAAATGGAAAATAATATACGTTTTAGGTCAAGTGCTTACTTACATTGCTATCGCAGTGGAAATTGTATTGTCTACAAAATTCGGGAGATTGAAAGACGAATTCTGAAAAAAAAAAATAAAAAAAATAAAATTAATACCAAAACACAAGAACATCTTCTTTTTATGGTTCCGTACGAAATGAAAAACGGGGGTCTTATAAGTCACTCTTGTGTTTGTCTGTCCGTCTGTGAATTTCTGTGACCCAAATACGAACAAATAACGTAAATAAATTAATTTTGGACATGGGGGTCATGTTTGGGGACTAAAAAAAGTTTTGCAAACTGTACCGCGTGACATGTGACAAGAGGAAAAGTAATATCTGATAGCATTTCAATGAGCAACAAAAAAGGAATGAGGAAAATTCATTCTCAGTAACGTAATATTTTCGACAAAAGTTTAATTCAAAATATATTTTAGTTTTCAATGGGAAGTAGTATAATAGTTTCGATTTAATGAAATTAAGAGATTAAGAAAACCTCTTAAATTTCTAATTGACACTCCTTTTTATCTTCATAAGTGAGGATATTTTGGAACTTGCAAATATTGTGCTACTAGAATTTTCATATATCTATTACTATTAATACATTTTCAGGTGCGCAAATTATAAGAACACTATAAATTCATAAAGTTTATGGAAGTGTATAATTGACATACGTTTGTCTAGATCAGTGTTTCCCAACTTTTTTTTCCTCGCGAACCAAAAGAAAGGTCCGAAAATATTTGACGAACTCCCTATGTAGTCGTTAATGACAGGTAAAAAATAGCAATAAAATTTTATAGAATTTATATTTTTCATATTGCAGAATAATTTATTATATTAATCGTGAAACATTTAAATAAAACATTAATAAGACTAAAATGATGTAAATGTAGTAAACTGCCTTAATTTGATATTTATTTCCAATTGTATTGTAAAAAAAATATTACATAGCCACCCTCGTANNNNTATAATCCGTACAGTACTGCACGGAAAAATTGACCATTTTATCCACTACAATTGCATTGCTCAAATGTGCTGTTATTGGTACCATTTACTACTGAAAATATCAACGAGATGTTTATTTATATTTGAAGACATATTAAAGGCTTTAACGCTTGTTTTCGACTCGCACAACTATTCATGATTGAACAAAACTCTTGACAGGTACTGTATGAAAAACTATGTTTAATGAACAACAGTCGAGAGTATAATGAGCCTTTTTTCTCCCTACCTACGATTTTGCCAGCGCGTATCCAAGACATTGGTAGGGGCACATCGCTACAGAAAGTAAATGAAGTATATCTTTTTTCACTTTGTCTGTACTACTCATGAAGCATTTCCTAAGTTAACAAGGACGTGTTCAAACGCAGCAGTTTTTGTTGATTTTGCCAATTTTAATCGTCCCAACCATAGCTACATCATGTGTTATGGGTTAGAACCTAATAACATCCGCGAATGAGTTAAAGATACTTTAATAACAGTTTGTATTAATAAGACAATAGTTGTACCTACTATTATTTGTAGTTCCTACTCAGCACTTGAATGTAATGCATAATAAAATACTCTCAAAAAAATAACCAATTTGCTCATGCAAATAGTACCATTACAACAAACAGTTATTGTAAAGACACTATTTGTTATTGCACTTAAAAACCTGTAAAAATTTGAGTTATAGACTAGAGAGTAAAGATCAGGGCAATAAAATGATACTAAACTTTTATATGATGTAATAAGTCGTCTAGGAAATGTCATTGATTTTTTATTTTTTCATGATAGCAACTAACGATGTGTGGTGTTTAACAACTAAGCAGCGTTAGCGTTGGTTTTCATTGATGAAACTATCTATTCATTCATTCGTGAATTATAATAACTTTATCTTTTGTTTGTTATTGAGAAAGAATGCTTTGTCGGTAAATTTTGCAGTATTCCGCTTCTACTGTAGGTACATAGTAAGTTATTCCATGGGCGAATAAATATCGCGTATTGAGATAATTATTGTTGCAAAATAAGCTACTAGAAAAACATGACCTATCTGACCTAAATTATAATTATTCTATGTTGTGTGGAAATTTTATAAACAAAAACAGTTATGTTTATAATTGACTAAACGCTGTCATGAATTATTTCAGAAACGTCAGCAATTTGAAATCCTGTTAGGTTTGTTATGATTATCGCACAACAGTGGCTAAAATGAATTTGAAAGATGCCTAAACTTTTAGGGGCTAATTTAGTGGTAAAATCATAATTTATATGTTTATTAACTTCTGACTGATTTCTTTTTTATTATTAGTATTATGCATCTCGTGAAAATGAGATTTTGGTAAGTTAGTCAAGGCAACTTAAGTAGATCATTACCTACCCTTCAAGAGTTTCATGACATTGAAAATAAAAAAGAAATGAGTAAAAAATTAATAAAAATAAACTATAAGCTTTGAATTTTTAAGCTTGACACTAAATTAGTAGATCGTTCACGTATCCGGTTTGGATCCGTTGCACAAAAGCTTACATAATGAAAATTGGTAATTAAGATTGTATTGGGATAAGTACTAATTTGCATTATTTATTGATTACTAAACTAATTATTTGTAATTATGATATACAGTGTAAACTCTATATAACGACACTTAAGGGACTGAACATTTTTCGGCGTTATAAAGAGCGGTCGTTAAATGGAAAGAAATAAAAGTTATTGATTACTAAATTATTGGGGCCAAACGAGCCGAAGGCGAGCAAAGCTCCATTTCTCCCCTATTCAGGACATTCGGTTGACATGTTTTTTCTCTTAAACGACTTAACCAATATAGTTCAAATTTGGCACAATGTTCATGCACAGTTAAGAGCAGGTTTGTAAAAAATTATTTTTAAAATCGGGCACACCACGAGGAATAATCACCAGAAAAAAATATCTAATTTCTCAATCACAAATTTTCGAATTTGGGTCTAAAATGACCACCTTGAGACTGTCTGCAGTCCAAAAAATTAAAATCACTATTCGGATATACCATCGAAGAATAATCGGCAAAAATGATTTAATATTGGGAGGGAGACCGCGGCATTCCCTTAGCGAGTGACCGGTTGGACAATTCGCTTCGCCCCATTTCATCTTGTAGCATACTGCGAAGATTACCTAGTTTCTTATACATATAGGTTATGGTGGAATAATTGTTAACATTTTCTGCCACTTGTTCGTATATGAGGTTTCGGCTTAACTATAACTAACCCAGCGACATGGCCTAGACGTCTAGACCATTGCTTAGCATTCGGGAGGACGCCGGTTCGATTCCGGTTCCGTCTGCCTTGCTCTAAGTTTTTCTGTGGTTTCCTTGGATCACTTAGGCAAATGCTGAGGCAGTAATATTCTACAGATAATCTTTCATTCTCTTTTGTCTTCATTTCGTCCGTCTCATCTTTCTCACCCGAACCACCACCCACCCATTCCCACGATTCCTGAAAGCAGGTTGAAGATGGCCTTCCGCCCTACCTTCCGGCATAGTCCGGAGGGACTGCCCGCCCACAAACATTACTGTCTGGTGGGAATGAAACACCCAAAAAGTTTAAAGAACTATAACTTATAAGTATGATTTTGTCACTTGTGGCATCAGGCTTTTAGTGTTTGTAAACATTTTAAGCTCGTATGATATCCATTTCTTCTATTGATTTTATTCAAATGTTAAGTCAGAGTCACGATAAAGGATAAATAATTTAATTATTTTTTAAACAGGTCCGACGTTTCGCCTAAAAACAATAGATAACATACGTATGTGGGATAATAAGATGTATCACTGATACGAATAACCCTCAAAATTGAAATTAATTAATATTGTATACTCATAAACAATTTCAGAATCTAAAACTGTCAAAATTATTACTCATTTATGGACACGTGTTTTGCCCACTTCTTAGGTAAACGTGAGATTTAGATGGGCGAAACACGTGTTCGCAAGTAAAAAAGTTTTAACTTACGTTCGAGTAATAAAAATAGAAAATAACTTTCATAATAGCGTGTTGTCTCGATAAAGAAATTGAACCGCTTCATTAGGTACATTTCCAATTAATATGTGGATTAATTATAAGGAAAATGGAAAAACAACTCATTTAATAGATAATGAGCTTTTACTTCAGATTTCTCTTAAAACAAAAATAACGTACAAAAATATTGCACCATTTGTCTCAATAAATTAATTTGGGTAGTAGCAATCTCTTTGTAAACTTAGTTAGGAATGGAAAAATTTAAAGTGCTAAAAATTTTATTTGAAAACTAATATCCAATCGTGTGTATTAGAACTAAACTAGACGGACTTTGTCTCAGGAACAAACCGGCGTACTTGATCCAACGGACCTGACGGTTTATTGTTTATAATTACTGACGGACTTAATCCGTTGCATGTCTCTATATAACACATAAGTTACACATTAAAAATTCTGCAGATCTTTTAAACTTTCCGAAAGGATCAGCGAATTCAACAATCAGGGACCGTTTTTCAAAAAGCGACGGATAAGTATATCAAATAAGTCGTAAGAAGTTAGTACTTCGAATGGACCCAATCCAGTAATTTTACAAATTTCCCAATTTTTTGTTAATGAGATACTAAAGGACTAAGTCCAACGGAGCATGTCTTTTGCGGTACATGGGATCTGATTCATCGGATATGAGAGGCGGCTGTTGGGGGTTGGCAAGCTGGGCAATTGCACGGGACTTCGCGCACTCGCGTAATTTTCCAATTAAAAAAATAGTAGCTACTGGTAGTACTAATATTTATGTAGTAACATAAGATATTATTAAGAAGTTAGTACGAATATAGGAATGTAGTATGTATTTGTGTGTGTGTCATAAATCATAAGGTTAATATTAAATGTGTTCTTTTGCCCCCCTCCCCCTCGTCGTTATTTACACCAGAACCGGGCAAACTAGGCTCTTTTGACTCCCGAGTGCTCCTCAGGTATAGCCAAGGAGCTCCTGATTACTCCTGCGAGTGCGAGTGAGATAATTTTTTCCTTTTCTTATCCCTTCCATTTCGTAGGTTCTATAGCCGAACCCATTAGTATTGCGAACGTAGTCCGGCATGCTACCCCTGAGCTGCGGGACGAT